CTTCCTGCCTTGTCCATCTGATGAACTTATTTGTTTGTTTGTTTGTTAATTTTTTTATTAATTATTGAGATGGGGTCTCACTCTGTCATCCAGGCTGGAGTGTGGTGGCACGATCTCAGCTCACTACAACCTCCGCCTCCCAAGTTCAAGCAATTCTCCTGCCTCAGCCTCCCGAGTAACTGGGATTACAGGTACCCACCACCATGCCTGGCTAATTTTTGTATTTTTGGTAGAGACAGCCAGGCTGGTCTCAAACTCCTGACCTCAGGTGATCCACCGGCCTCGGCCTCCCAAAGTGCTGAGATTCCAGGCGTGAGCCACTGTTCCCAGTCCCACCTGGTGAACTCCTATCCATCTCACAAAGCCCTCCCTCCTCAGTGTCCTTTCCTTGGGACTCAACCATATTCATGCCAGGCACTCTATTCCTGCATTTCTCCCACTAGGCTCTGACTGTCAGTACCCAGCCCCTGCAAGTCATTAGCCCTCAAGAGAAGCCACCACCTCTTCAACCTCTGCATCGGTGGTGCCTAGCACAGGTCTTGGCAGAGTTGGTGCTTGGCAAACTCATGGTGATTACAGCATGAATGAAAGAAGGAACAAGTGATCTATCAGCCTAAGTCTGTGGCTTATAAAGTCACCTTGGGGCAGGGTGTGGTGGCTCACATCTATAGTCCCAGCACTTTGGAAGGCCGAGGCGGGCAGATCACGAGGTCAGGAATTTGAGACCAGCCTGACCAACATAGTGAAACCCCAGCTCTACTAAAAATACAAAAATGAGCCGGGCATGGTGGTGTGCACCTATAATCCTGGCTACTTGGGAGGCTAAGGCAGGAGAATGATTTAAACCCAGGAGGTGGAGGTTTAGTGAGCCAAGAATGTGCCATTGCACTCCAGCCTGGGCGACAGAGCAAGACTCTGTCTCAAAAAAATAAAAACAAAAATAAAGTCACATTGGCCAAGAAACTCAACTTTGCCAAAACTAAGTAGCCCAAAGATTGGTACTCACTAAGCAAATGTACAGTAAGCAGATATATAGACCAGTAACAATAACAGTAATAATAACAACAAAGGCCAACATTCATGGCGTCAAGCATCATGTTAAATATTTTACCTGCATCGTTTCATTTAATTTTTACAACAAGCCTTTGCAGTAGATGCTGAGGCTTGGAGAAGTGAAGCAACTTGTTCAAGGTCACATAGTAAAGGGCAGAGCTAGACCTCATCCCAGTCCATTCTGATTGAATCTACCAACTAATAGGTCAGGGTCTCCCAGGTGGCTGCAGCCAGGGTTAGGGCTGGCCAAGGCAGTGCGTGGGAGGGTCCAGGGTCGAAGTCCCAGCTTGGGGCCCACTCACCTCTCGGGGGATGCGGCCATGGTACCAGGCGTGGCTGCGGAGATCTGTGCTGCTGAGTTTGAGCTCCTCCTCCAATTCCTTGTGCAGTTTCTCTGGTGATGAGTCCAGGATGTACTTCTCCTTGGAGAACTGGGGGGGAGACAGCAAAAGTTGGCATCCAACTTAAAGCCCCCTTCCTCCTGCCCTCCCAACTTCATTCTACCCTGGGTGAACTCCTCTTCTGGGACTCTGGGAGCACTAAGGCACAGGTACCAGAAAGGTCCATTCCCATGGGTCCCAGAAAGAGTAAAGAAATCTCAATTCATTCCACCAAACAATGCCAACTGCATTCCAGGTCCTGTGTTATATGCCAGGGGTGGGTGCAGTGATACATAAATCAAGCCCAGCCCTCAAGGCAGTGCCTAGGCCGAGGAGAGGCAAAAGCACCAGGAGCCTCTGAGTTGAGTGCAGTCAGCACCACAGCACTGGACAGCGGCAAAGAGCTGGATGGCTTTTACAAGCAGGAATAAGTCTGGGTGAGGCAGAGGGATCTGGGAAGACTTCCTGGAGGAGATGGCAGTAAGAAAACACTCATTATGCACCAAGGGCACCAAACTGATCTTGAAGTGTCAGAGGGGGATTTCTACAGGTGAATCTTGGAGGCAAGGCGGCAGGTGCTGCAGGAAAAGGTATGAGCAAAACCACAAAGCTGGTTGGACAAGGATAGCATTGCACTGGGATGATGCATGCTACAGTGCAAGTATGGGGAAGGGACCATAAACCGGGACATGGGGACCCTACACAGACATCTACATTGTCCCTTACAATTTCCAAGGCCATCTCTCCCTTGAAATCCCCAGCAATCCTCACCAGATGGGGAGATCACAGCCCAGCAAGGAAGCCCAAGGCCACTGAGGGAAATGATGCCCAGTACTCCACCCTCCCACCTGGCCCAGGAGAGACTCCTGGTTACTATGGCCTCGAGTTGGAGGCTGATGGACCCCAGGGGCCCTAAGGACTGAGGAAGGGGAGTCCCCAGTGCCAGATGTACCCCCACCAGAGCCCAGCCCAATCCTGGCTGTGCCGTGTCAGGTCTCTGGGCCTCAATTTCTTCCTCATTGAAATGGGTACAGTGACAGAAACTGCCTCACCTCACGCGAGGATGAAAAGAGACAGCACTCCAGAATACTACTGGTACATGGACATCCTCATCACTGTGAGCACATGGGACAGTCCTTCCTCTCCTTTCCCTGACTCTGAACCCCAAAGATGACTACTCCAAGATAGAAAGACACCAGAAGGCAGGATCGATGAGGGAGGGCAGTAAAGGGCCTTCATTCCAGGTGAATCTCTCCCTGGGATCCCTGGCTCCCCAGAGTCCAAGGGTCCTCCAGTCCACTCTCTGCCTCCTCAGATCATCCACAGATCTTGCATCCTAATTCTACGGACACATCCTTCACCCCTCTGCTCCCACACTGCCTGGATTTACCCCAGTCTGCATTGCTCCCAAGACACCGTGATTCCCAGTGTCAGAGATAATCTAGAATCTCTGACTCCATTCAACACTAAATCCCTACCCTGGTCCTATGCCAAGGCTGAGGACCCAAGGTAGCCTCTGCCCTGGGGAGCCCTTGCAGACACTGACAGTCAATTCCAGGTTTCCTGAATGTTCAGAGATGCACAGACGGAGATGGTGCACCACCAACCTAGGCAGGGGGCAGAGTCAGGGATCACTTCCCTGAAAAGGTGATGCTTTTGCTGAGGCCTGAAGAAGGACTCAGGGAGCCAAGCAGAAGCACCAGGGTGGAGAGAGTGGGTAGACAGGTGGGCAGGGAAGAGCTTCTGGGGAGACAGCTGCAAAGTCAGGGCCCTACAGGCAGAACCAAGGGGAGGGAGGGGAGATGGGTGAGAAGTTTCCAAGGGGCTGCTGGGGTAGGGGCAGGTGTGGAAGGGCTGCCTCAGGGAACTGAGGTTTACCCGGAGGCCACAGCAGAGCAATGGAAGGATTTGGAAATGTTGGGGCAGGTTTAGTCCACCTGTGGAGAGCAGCCTAGAGTTTTCCAGGCAGTGGTGGGGCAGATGGGGTGTGGGAGAGGGAGTGGGGGAAGGGGAGTTTAGATGTCCATTGATCTATGTGGGGGACTGGGGTGGAGGAGTCAGAGACGACTCCAGGCTGAGATCCTGGAAGGATGATAGGGCACGCTTTGAGTGGGCAAGCCTGGGGCAGGAGCAGCTTGGCAGTGGGCCCATGAAAATGTGGACCTTGAAGAGCCTGCAGGGCTGTGGGGACAGATGGTGGGAGTGGGCGGTTTGCACAGGTGCTCAGGCAAAAGGCGGAGCCTGGTGGTGGGAATTCTGTACATCCTCCACCCATGGTAGAAACTGATGTCCCTGAAGGGCAGAGAGGGCCAGGGCTGAGCTAGGATCCGGGCCTTCTCAGCCACCTACCCTTCTCCAAGGGGTTCCCTATTTCTGGTGGTCCCTGGCCTCTCTCCCTCTCACTTTGTGGTGCTCACACCAGCCTAGTCCTCTTTCCTCATATCACACCAAACCCTGGGGAGGGAAGAGTGGGCGTCACAGGGAAAAAGGGAACCAGGACCCCAGCCTTCTGGTATCCTCCTTGACAAAGAGCATGCGATTGACACCTTCCCCCAGCTCCACAGCTGGAGCTAGAGGGACTCGGGCAAACGAGGGAGGAGGCTGGGTGTTGAAGAACCCACCCCAAGGCTGCCACTGTGTGACCTTGAGCCAGTCACTTCCCCGCTCTGGGCCTGGGCAGCTTCATCCGTTAAAGGGGGCTGGGAGACTGGGCTCCCCTTTGCCAGCTTAACCACTGCTTCCAGAGAGTTTGGGGGAACCAACTCGGTCCTCCTGCACACCTGAGGGTGAGGTACCCTAGAGTCCCTGTGCCTTGATCTCACCTCGACCTGGGGCCCCAGCTCCCTAGAGTTGGGGGTGCTGGGGTGCGAATGCAGCATCCCTGCGCTCGGCGCCCTGCTATTGGTCAGAGATGATCTCACCGCCTCCCGGCCTGCGCACGCCTGATTGGCCGGTGCAGGGATGCTGCGCTCCGCTGCCGGCGGGGCTGTCCTTCAGGCGGGCTCCGCGCGCGTGTGTTAGCCTGGGGGAGCGCAGAGCCGACGCGCCTGGCGTCTCCCAGGGGGATCAGTGGGCAGGAGGGCGGAGACCCCCGGACAGTGTCTTAACCCCTTCCCTCCAGCGAGAGCCCAGCATCCCTTCCAGCTCCTCTCAGCGTCCCAACCCCAAGCAAAGCCGTCCCCAAAGGATGCTCCGCAGAGAGGCGGGGTCCGGGTCCTCCCCTCCACCCCCTTCCGTTTAACCCTCTCACCGCCGCGGCGCCGTCCTGCACTGCCCGCCAGCTGGGCTAGGAGAGACCCGTGCCCCAGGCATGCCCGAGCCCAGCTAGAGGGCGGGAGGGTGGCGGGCGCTCTGGCCCCAACCCTGGCACCCGAAGCATCCCCCGCGTTTCCTGCTCCTCACTCAGCTTTCAGACCCCAGCCCAGCGCCCCAGGTACAATGGGGAGCCAGGGTGCCTGGGTCAGCCGCAAGGGCCAGCGTACCAGGCGGAGGACAGGCAGGGCGCAGGGGACCCCATCTCCCAGTGCTCCCGCTCCAGCTCTTTCCCTGCTGCGGAGGAGGCAGAACCGGACCGGCATCCCCCGCAGCCCGGAATCCCAGGAGTGGTCGCTGAACCCTCACCCTGCGGAGCTCCTGGGCGCCCAGAGGTGAGGTTGGGGCGACCCCGCCCCCTCCCCAGACCGGCCCGGCCGGACCGGACCGGACCGGACCCAACCCTGCCGGGCTGCAGCTCCCTGGCTGGCTCTAGGGCCCCGGGCGGAGCGGCCGGGGTCCCAGCCCAGCGCGCGTGGCGGGGGCCGAGCCGCCCCCTCACCTGCACCTGCACGAAGGAGCCGCGGTAGAAGCAGCAGGCGGCGGCCGACAGGGCGCTCCACAGGCTGCACCGCTCGGTCATGGTGGGGCCGGGCGGCCGGGGCCGGGACGGTGCTGGGGGGCGGTGGCCGGCGGGGCAGGGGCGCGGGGACCAACCGGCTGGGCACCGGCTGCGCGTGCCTCTCAGCGGCGCGATTACCTCATCGCCTTGTCGGGGGAGGAGCGGGGAGGCGGGGCGGGGAGACCCCACCCTCCAGCCGGTCAGGGGAGGGGAGGGGGCCATTGTTCCTCCCTCCGCCCGCCCCCCCCCACTCCCAGCCCCTCGCCACCCGCCCTACAGTCCCGCGCTCTCGAGCTGCCTGGAGCTGCGGGCGCGGAGCGGAGGACCTGCCAAGGGGGGCATTACCGGGGACAGCGGGATCGGGTGGGGGACCCCTGGACCAGCGAGGGGAGGTTCCTGCCTCCCCCACTTGCCGCACCTCTAACAGACCGGGAGCGGACAGAGACTTTGAATTAAATCATATCTAAAACTAGAAAAATCCCTGTGTGTGCTCGACCAAATCCTTTGTGGCCTCAGGAAATCTCCCAGAGCCCAGGAGTTCTCATCCCTGGTTTGGAACCAGAGACTCTGCTGGGAATCGCGATGTTCACTGACAGACTCAGGGTGCAGAGAGCCAGTAAAGCCCAATAGTTAGGGAGGCAGCCTGGTTCCACTGTCCGGTAACTACTGGTGCACGCACTCCCACCAGCCGTTTCCACAAGCTACGACTTACTTGTGGAAAATGCACATGTCAAACGCAGCTAATGCCTGCATTGACCTGACAGAATTCTTGTGAGCTTTCGCTGAGCTGGTGCATGTAAGTTGCCAGGCATGAAGTAAGCGTTCAATAAGTGCATGCTATTATTTTCAAGCTTCCTGTCTCAGAAACTCTACTTTTTGGCCAAGCACGGTGGCTCATGCCTGTAATCCCAGCACTCTGGGAGGCTGGGGCAGGTGGATCACTTGAGGCCAGGAGTTCGAGACCAGCCTGGCCAACATGGTGAAACCCTGTCTCTACTAAAAATACATAAAAAAAAAAAAAAAGCTGGATATGGTGGCACATGCCTGTAATCTCAGCTACTCAGGAGGCTGAGGCATGAGAATCGCTTGAACCCAGGAGGTGGAGGTTTCAGTGAGCCAAGATTGCACCACTGCACTCCAGCCCAGGCGATGGAGCAAGACTCTGTGTCAAAAAGAGAGAAAGAAAGAGGCCAGGCCCAGTGGCTCACGCCTGTAATCCCAGCACTTTGGGAGGCCAAGGTGGGTGGATCACCTGACGTCAGGAGTTTGAGACCAGCCTGATCAACATGGAGAAACCTTGTCTCTACTGAAAATTAGCCAAGTGTGGTAGCTAATCACAGCTATTCAGGATGCTGAGGCAGGAGAATCGCTTGAACCCAGGAGGCGGAGGTTGTGGTGAGCGGAGATTGTGCCATTGCACTCCAGCCTGGGCAACAAGAGTGAAACTCTGTCTCAAAAAAAAAAAAAAAGAAAAGAAAAAAGAAAGAAAGTCCACTTCTCTGGGCCTCAGTTGTTCGTTTTCTGTAAATACATCTGAAGCTCTGAGCACGCAGCCTGGAATTTTATGGTCTTGGAATTTAAGAATTCTTGCCTTAGAATCAAAGGATTCACAAAATAGTTTGACAACTCTGAAGCTCTGGATGCTGACCCCTCAAAGATGAGTACCTCAAAGTAGGAGGAGGCTTTTGTTTTTGTTTTTGAGATGGAGTTTGTTCTTGTTGCCCAGGCTGGAGTGTAGTGACTCAATCTTGGCTCACTGCAACCTTGGCCATCTAGGCTCAAGCGATTCTCCTGCCTCAGCCTACCAAGTAGCTGGGATTACAGGTGCATGCCACTGCACATGGCTAATTTAAAATTTTTTTTTTAATAGAGATGGGGTTTCACCATGTTGGCTAGGCTGTTCTCGAACTCCTGACCTCAAGTGATCGACCTGTCTTGGCATCCCAAAAGTGCTCATATTACAAGCATGAGCCACTGCACCCAGCCTAGAAGGGGGCTTTTAGAAACCAACTATTGATTCCTTTTAACCCTCATTTGATTTTATTATTATTATTTTTTAAGATACAAGGTATCCCTCTGTTGCCCAGGTTGGAACACAGTAGCATAATCATAGCTCACTGCAGTCTTGACCTCCTAGTCGCAAGCAATTCTCTTGCCTCAGCCTCCAGAATTGATGAGTCTACAGGCACACACCACCACGCTCAATTAATTTTTTTTTTTTTGAGACACAGTCTCACTCTGTCATCCAGGTTAGAGTGCAGTGGCTTAATCTTGGCTCACTGTAGCCTCTGCCTCCTGGGTTCAAGTGATTCTCATGCCTCAGCCACCCAAGTAGCTGGGATTATAGGAATGCACCACCACACCCGGATAATTTTTTTTTTTTTTTTTTTTTTTGAGATGGGAGTCTTGCTCCATCACCCAGGCTGAAGTGCAGTGGCAAGATCTCAGCTCACTGCAACCTCCGCCTCCCAGATTCAAGCAATTATCCTGCCTCATCCTCCCAAGTAGCTGGGATTACAGTAGTGTGCCACCATGCCTGGCTAACTTTTTTGTATTTATTTTAAGTAGAGATGTGGTTTCTTCAGGTTGGCCAAGCTGGTCTCAAAGCCCTGACCTCAAGTGATCCACCCACCTTATCCTCCTAAAGTGCTGAGATTACAGGTGTGAGGCACTGCACCTGGCCGATTTTTTTGTATTTTTCGTACAGGGGTTTCACTATTTTGGCCAGGCTGGCGTCAAACTCCTGGCCTCAAATGATCCACCCACCTTGGCCTCCCAAAGTTCTGGAATTACAAATACGAGCCACTGCACCTGGCCTTCCCAACTAATTTTTATATATTTTTTGTAGACAGGATCTTGCTATGTTGCCCAGGCTGGTCTTGAACCCCTAGCCTTAAATGACTCCCCCACCTTGGTCTCCCAATTGCTGGAAATACAGGCATCAGCCACAGTGCCCAGAACCTCATCTGACTGAATCTTGAAACTAAAATTAACATTCCTTTGACGTTATCCTTTGGGAGACTGTTTAATCAGCTCTACTGAGCAGGTATTATTTATTTTACAATATTTTTTAAAAACCTACATTTTTTTAACCCCTAAAAATAAACTAAAGGAAAAAATATAAAGCTAACATTCTTCACAGGGATCTCACTACTTACCAGGCAGCTGAGGTCTGTGGGATGCTAAAATATGGCCCCTGCATTCCAGCCACTGGCTTTGGTGTCAGCTCTCCCCATGTCTTCCCTCCCATGGTGGCATAAGGGCTCTGGAATTTCTGCTCGACTTGCTGCTGCCCTGGGCTGTTTCTGGGCTCACGCAGTTTACTTTCTGACTTTGTCCACACTCCTGCCTCTGCCAGGACCACTCTCCTACCCATCTCTGCTTAACTTTGTCCCCTGTCCAGCATTTCATTCATGGAGTAATCTCAGTGAATGTTCCCAGTCAACCTCAATAGCCTGACTCCAGTGCCTCCACCTCCAGAAAGCTTTCCTTGATCTCCAGCTCCCTAGCTCCCCAGCTGAAAGTCATCCCCTACGTCTGGAGCTCCCACAGCTTCTGGTGATGGTGAGGGGTCAGCAATCTGAGCACCTCCCAAGCGACCCCATTACTAGTCACTTACACAGAGTTGTGCAGGTAGCATCTCAGGATGATGAAATGTCTCTGGGGTTAGAAGCCAGGCCAGCCCACCCTGTTCTAGACCCAGCTCCTCACTCATGACAATGGGCTCACTGAACCCATAGCAACCCTGGGTTGGAGGCACCACTGTTACCCCTATTTCACATAGGCAAACACAGGCTCAGAGAAGCGATGCCCACACCCAAAACCAGTGGCAAGTAAGTGGCAGATCTCAGACTAAAATTTGTTTTTTGGTTTTGTGGGTTTTTTATATCAGCCTATGTCATGCTTTTTTTTTTCTCTGTTGCCTAGGCTGGAGTGCTGAAGTACAGTGGTGCGATCTCAACTCACTGCAACCTCCACCTCCTGGGTTCAAGCAATTCTCCTGCCTCAGCCTCCCCAGTAACTGGGATTACAGGCATGCACCATCATTCCTGGCTAATTTTTGTATTTTTAGTAGAGATGGCATTTTGCCAAGTTGGCCAGGCTGGTCTCAAACTGTGGCCTCCCAAAGTGCTGGGATTACGGGTGTGAGCCACTGTGCCAGGTGTGAGCCACTGAACCCGGCCTGAGTCACTACACCCAGCCCATCATGCTTTGATGGGACTAAAATTTGGATCTGCTACGCGTGGTTGCTCATGCCTGTAATCCCAGCTCTTTGGGAGGCTGAGGAAAGAGGATCACTTGAGGCCAGGCATTTGAGACCAGCCTGGGCAACATAGTGAGACCCCATCTTTAAAAAAGTTGTTTTTTAGTTAGCCAGTGGCAAACACCTGTAGTCCCAGGGAGTTGGGAGGCTAAGGTGGGAGGATTCCTTGAGCCCAGGAGCTCAAGGCTTCAGTGAGAGACAGAGAGAGATCCCATCTCTTAAAAAAAGAATAATAAAAATAAAAGTTGGATCTGATGGATTGCAAAAAAACAAGCACAAACCACTGTATGATTCTTCCCTGGGTCCCACGCGGACTGGAAGCCCTTTGAATTCAGGGCCTGGTGCTTCTTGCCCTCTGTCTATTCTCAGTACTCAGCACAGGGCCTGGCTCAGGGTCGGGGTTCCTGGGAGTAGAAAGCCAAGGGCTTTGGGTACAGTCCTGACATCAAACTTGGAGTGTAATCCCAGCTCTTCTTTGTAATATTAGGTTGTTGCAAAAGTAATTGTGT